ATTAAATAATTCAGTTAATGTGAACTAAATCAATTATAATAGATAATATACTGATGCAGTACTGATTTAGTTCACATTAAATATCACTAACACTTGATTTTAAATATTTGTTTATGAATTTTTTCTTATCATTATTACCGTTATCATTATTACCCTTATCATTATTACCATTCATGTTTGTTCATTTTTTATGATTTTTTTTTTATGATTTTTTATTTTTTTTTTTTTTTTTTTTTTTTTTGATAATAACTTTTGAAACACTTGACACTTCGATATCAAAAGACGAATATAAATATAACGAATATAAATATTTATTATATACTTGTTTTTCTTTTTTTGTTTTTTACTTGATTTTTCATAAGGATCAAAATTTCAAGTTTATCCGCTTAGCCATTTAAAATGTAAGATTTATATTTTTGTCGTTCGATATGCGTTATATCTAATGACAAAACAAGAAAAAAAGCAAATGAGAACTTTTAATTTTTTAAATACATGTGAACTTCTTTTGATAAACAAAAAAAGATAATTAAGAGAGTTAAAGACGACAAAAAATTGATTTTTAGATGTTCGTTTTTTCTTTTTTTTTTTTCTTCTTCTTTCTTTTATAAGCAAAAATATGTTCTCTGCAAAAGAGAACAATTATATCAATAATGAAACAACACTGCAGTGTACAATTAATTCAAACGCGTTCATTTCGAAAAATCGTAGATTAACTTTCTCATTTTTTTTTTTTTTTTTTTTTTAATTCTTCTTCGACACATATACAAACAGAGTATGAATTGTTTGCGTGTCAATTGAAAAACTGCATGCATCTAGAAATACTTGTATCTGTGAGTGTATAAATCGTAGGAAAAAAAATTTTTAATACATAAAGATATTTATAAAAAAAAAAAAAAAAAAAAAAAAAAAAAAAAAAAAAAAAAAAAAAGAAATTGTCATACTTCTCTTCGACAACGTTAATAAGAAAAAAGAATTCCTTTATTATATCCGAAATCACTTTTTCGACATTATAAAGGAGATTAAATTCTTCTACGTGTTACGTAAGATTTTTAACCAAAAATTTTGTAATGAATCAATATACCACAATTCATTTATTTATTTAGTTCATTCAAAATCACTCGAACATAATCGATGTCACAGCAGTGAACCCATCATTTCTATTATAAATTCGAGTTAATCCATTCGTTCCTTAAGAAAAAAAAAAAAAGAAAAAAAAAAAAGAGATAAAGAAACAAAAAAAATAGGAAGGAAGACATAATTTTAGAAATATTACATTTTAATATGAAACACATAAAGATCGTAAAAAAAAAATCTTTAAACACCTGAAATACTTTCGTAACATAATCACCCGTTACACTTTTCGCTATATCGAAACCATAAATAACTCTTTGCGGTCATGCCTAAAAATAAGAAAATAGAAAGAGGCAAAGAGATAGACAGAAACAGATAGAGAGAGAGAGAGAGAGAGAGAGAGAGAGAGAGAGAGAAAGAGAGAACTGCATCGATTCATCGAGTTACGTATTGGTGAGTTCGCATCGATGCTACGAAGATGACAGTGACGATAGACGCAAAGTTGAAACGAATTCTCAGAAGCACGAGTATCTCTCTCTCTCTCTCTCTCTCTCTCTCTCTCTCTCTCTCTCTTTTAGTTCTTCATTTTCTCTTTCTATCAATCTATTTAACTATTCTTTTTCTCTTTCTCTCAACTATCTATCTACTCCCTCTCTTTCTCTATCCACCTTTCTTTCACCATCTATTTATCTATTCATCAATCTATCTTGATGCTCTTTATTCTCCATCTCTCTCTCTCTCTCTCTCCCTCTCTCTCTCTTTCTCTCTCTCTCTTTCTATCTCTCTCTCTGTCTATCTATCTATCTGTCTCTTTCTCTCTCTGCCTTTTCGTTGCTCTTTCTATCAATCTATCTACTCTTTCTCTCTCTCTCTCTCTCTCCCTCTCAATCTCTATCTCTATCTCTATCTATCTATCTTTCTGTCAATATCTACTTATCTTTCTATCTTCTCTTTTTGCATCTCTCTCTCTCTCTCTGTCTCCCTCTCTCTCTCTCTCTCTCTCTCTCTCTCTCTCTTTCTTTCTCTTCCTCTTTCTGTCTTTCCTCTCTTTCTCTTTCTCTTTCTCTCTCAATCTCTCGGGATTTCTCTCGGTTTCTATCTTTCTCTCTTTCCGAACGGACACGCTCGATTTGCTAACCACGGTGACAGCACGAAACAAGAGAGATATCTCTCCTCCTCCATCGAATGGCACGCACCGTTGGACTTTATAAAGCGACAAAGTCGTCTCGACGCCTCGTTAGTGACCGGCCATTATTAAGTGCCGCCCCCGTTAACGAGCCAGAACGATCCATCCGAGGATTCTTTTACCAAAATGGCTCGTTGCTACATACATGAACAAGTTGCCGTTATGTACTTCGTACTCATGACTTGATAATAAATCCTACTCGTATGAGCCACTAACGAAATTCGATTAAGAACTAACTGATTTATTTTAAATGACGAATATATACATATATATATATATATTGCAATAGATCTATCAAAATTATATGTTCATTCGTTTTTTTAAATAAAAGAAAATCATTCATTTATAATATTATATACTAACTATTATTATATATTTTATTTGATATGGTTTTTATTAAATATATTTGTATATAATTAATATATGAGAATAATAATATTGTAGTATAGTATAATATAATTATAGTTTTACGATATATACGTATGTATATATAATCATATTATACACATATATCATACGTTCATATAGAATATATATATATATATATATATATATATATATATATAAATATATTTAATAAAAATATTATAATTATACTACGCTTTAAGTATACTTTAAGAAAAAGAAAAAAAAACATGAGAAACTTCGTATATGTAACAAACTTAATTGTTATATAAGTAATCTGATATAAATCAGATGAAATCAAACAGAAATTTAAAGAAATGTAGATAAACACACACGCACACACACACACACACATGTATATATATATATATAAAACATGAAAGTTATAAGAGTATTATAACACTTTAAACTATACCTATCCAAATGATTTATAATTTCGAATTAGACAGAAAATTTGTAATTATCAGCAAATGAAGTATTTCTATAATTATCGTAAAATATAAACATTAGTCGATAGTTATTATATATTATTATCTGACGAACAAGGTATACGCGCACGTGTGTGTGTGTGTGTGTTTGTGTGTACACGTAAAGTATATATCATTTCAATTCGTATTATTTCACTTTACTCCATGTTAAGTTGTGCAATCGTGTAAGAAACTTCTTTCGTTGCTCTACATTCGCCGTGCTTAGATAACACATCGAAAGTTATTTAAATTCGATTCGTAGAGTAGTGAAATTTATTTAACAGACGTTCACAGATTAACTATATCTATTCAACGTAGAAACACCGGTACTTGTCTGTAACTTTCGATTTTACTACGTCAAGGAAGTAATCGAAATAGTTAACGAGTCCTCAAAACAACTTCATATTTTATGGTGTTACCGTTATAAAATACATACGAATTAGAATATCAATTGGAGATTACATATATATATATATATATATATATATATATATATATATATATATATATATATATATCCTGATTTTTGTCTGCGAATATAAAGATAGATTAATAGGAGTGGACATGAATATATGTATAAGAATAATTTTTTAGATTTGTATAGAAAAGTATATTAATATATAGTATAATATTATATTTAGTATAGTATAGTATAGCATAATAATACTACTTTAGTATAGTATATATTATTAATTATAATTCTTTAATATAATTTTATATATATAGTTTTTATTTTTTATTAATTATAACTTAATTAAATTTTTAATAATTATAATTACATTATAAATATATATATAAATATATATATATATATATATATTAATATTTTATTGTTTAATTATAGTATTTTTTTTTAAATAAATTATTATACAATATTATACTTATACCATACAATACTACAATATATTAGTATATAATATATAATATACTAATATACATGTAAATATATAGTAATAAATAATACTAAAATTTTCAAATTATATGATCTTTCATAGACCCGAAAAAGTATTAGTTTACAGTGGCTAAAAAAACAACAACAACAATAATAATAATAATAATAATAATAATAATAATAATAATAATAATAATAATAATAATAATAATTGAGCTGAAAATAAATGAACCAATACGAATGAATGTCTATATATATATATATATGAGCATAATTTTTCTAATGTGTTATAGTACAATATAGTATTTTTATTAAATACATAATTACATAATACTATATTTATACCATAACAGTATTAGAATATAATATATAATGTACCAGTATATACGTAAATATATAACACTATATATAACTAATACTGTAACTTTCAAATTACATAATCTTTCTTAGAAAGGATTAAAGATCAGGTTTATAAAAAAAAAGAAAAAAAGAATAAATAAATAAATAAGTAATTAAAAAGGAAACAAATAATCTAGCTGAAAATAAACGAAAACATTTTTCTGAAAAATTTTCTCAGTTATCAGAGTAACAAAAAAAAAAAAAAAAAAAGAAAAAAAAAAAAAGAAAGAAAGAAAAAGAAAAAAAAACCAAATCCTCGATCGATCAAGTCTAATGCCTAGCGTTATATAAAACCGGTATTTAGGTTATAATAACCGTATTTAGATTGTGCCTGGCACAGAAACAACAACAACGATGACGACGATGACGACGACGACGACAACTACGATCCACGACGGTCGACGATGTCCGTGCGTTCGAAGATTCGAACGAGTAAAAGAACGAAAGCAAAGATGGTATCTCGCGCGTTTGTAAAAGAGGTGGGGGTGGGGTTTTGGGCCTGAGATGGGTGGGGGCTAGCGGGAGGGGGGAAGGGAGGATTCGAGCTAAGAGGAAAAAGAAAAAGAGAAGCGAGCTTTACCTTGACCGTTGGAGTGATTTTGTTGCGGCGACTGCGGCTGGCCCTGCGTCAGTATAATTTGACTTTCGAGCTGCTGGAGCTCGGCTTGTAGCTCGTTCAACTTGCTGTTGGCCTTCTTCACGATAGTCGCCACGTCCGATAGCGCCTTACGATCGGTTGCAACCTCCCTAAGCTTCTCAGCACCGGCTTTTATCTTTAATTCCTAAAGAATAAACACACGCACAAAAACAAAACGTTCAATATTAATAATAATGACAACAACAACAACAACAATAATAATAATAATGACGATGATGATGATGATAATAATAATAATAATAATAATAATATTAATAATAATCATGAAAAAACAAAGCATAATGTAAAAGACAAATAATAATGCAAATTGAAAATCTATTTTTGAATAATAATATATCTATCGAATGATATTCCTAATAAATAAGTCATAATGAATAATCTTTTGAATCAGAGTGTACCTTAAAAACGTCATGGCATTTAATAAGTACTTATTTACGGAGGGTTGGGGGGGTGGGGGAGACTTATCAAGAAAAAATAACAAACACATGACAAACATATAGGAAACAAAAAACGAAAAGGAAAGAAAAGATATAATAAAATCGGAGCTCAGGTGTAAAAATAAATCGATATCGATTAATTGCGACAGCTTTAATAATTCGGAATAATCCGTGAATCTGAAAAATTCACGATGAATCGAAGGTCATAAGAGGTCATAAGATGAGTCATTGTACGGAGGTAGAAAAGATTTGTTCGAAAAAGAAATAAAAAATAAAATACGCATTGTGAAAATTGATAAAACATTTATAACAAATAGGGGATCATGATGGAAAGGAAGAAAAAAATTTTGTTCGAATAAAATATAGAAAAGAACAATTTTCAAATAAAAATAGATATGGATTATGATCGCCATGGTAAATAACCGTAAACCGGAGTATCCACCATAACAGGTTGAATGCTACGAGGAGGGTTGGGGGCGGGGGGGTAGGATAGGGATGGTAGGGGGGGAAGGAGCACGATTTGTCCAAGAAACAGACAGGAGAAAATTTCAAGTAAATAAGAAAAAGTCTAATGAACGTTGAAAATATTCAATATCATTTGGAAATAATGATAAATTCAATGATGATGACGACAATGTATAAATTTGGTACGATAAATAATTATGATCATAAAGAGATTTTTATCTAAAGAAAATATTTTCGAATAAATAACAAATATGAAAACATTTAAATACTAACGAATAAAAAAAGATCTCAATTCATAAATGTAGAGATATTTAAATTGTTACGTCTTCTCGTTACATGATGAATAATTATAATAATTTTTATCAACGATTTGTAATTATTTAACTATTATTATTAATTATTATTAGTTATTATTATTAATTATTATTATTAATTATTATTATTATTATTATTATTATTATTATTATTATTATTATTATTATTATTATTATTATTATTATTATTATTATTATTATTAATGTTATTTCTTTCGTCGTTTACTATTAATTAATTTTTATTAATTTTATTGTGATAATAAGAAATAATGAAGAAATAAAAAAGAAAAGAAACAAAATAGAGAAACACATAGAGAAAGAGAGATAAAGAGAAAAAGATAAAGAGAGAAAGAGAGAGAGAAAGAGATCGAATGAAACAGTATGTTTGACTCGAAAATTCGAAATAAACTCATTTCGAGTTTGGCGTGATCGATCTATTATTCGCTCGAGTGCATTTTCATCTTTCAACGAAATAACTTCCTCTCTCAGGATGAAGCAAATGGAACGTAAAATTGCATTCTATATAATATTGCTATATTTCTTTACATTATATTTTACTTTTCTTCTCTTCGTTTATCGTCGATGTCTCACAAGAAGGAAACATGTCTCTCTCTCTCTCTCTCTCTCTCTCTCTCTCTCTCTCTCTCTCTCTCTCGCTTTCTCTTTCTCTCTCTCTCCCTCTCGTGATACTAACGCTAATCGATCGCGAAGCTTGTTCGTCGTTAAATATAACGGCTTGTCCGCGAGCGAACGAGTTAACGGAAGTAAGAAGAGTCTTTTTTTTTTGTTTTTGTTTTGTTTTGTTTTTGTGTTTTTTTTGTTTTTTTTTTTTTTTGAAGCTAACTTTCATTTCTTTCTTTAGAGTTTATCTGAGAAAAAAAAAGAAAGAAAAAATGAAAATAGAAACTTGTCTTCATAATTTTTTCCTAGCATTTTGAAAATCACATGCGTCTAATGATAGGAATCATTATCTTATGTTAGTAATAAAAATATTTGTAATTTTTAGATTATTGTCTATTTATATATTATATTAATAAATAATAATAAATTATTTAATATATTACATAAAATTTATAATTTATAAATATATATATATATATATATATATATATATATATATATAACAATAATAGCTTTAATTTAGGCTTTATTTTATATATATATATATATATATATATATATATATATAAGTATATTAAATATTTTTATATATTATTACATATATATCTTTACATATGTATTAATAAGGAATTATTAAATTTTGATTATTACTTCTTAATTATAATATTTGTGTGTGTGTGTGTACGTGCGCATAGCAATACATATATATATATATATTTTTTTTTATGAAATTTAATGTGAATATATAAAAAATCCTTTCCAATAATCGCTTTTGTTCACTTTCGCGATACAATTATTTTATAATTGTTTATATCTCTTACAAAGAATACTGTATATAACATACAGTAGAAGGACAAGAACGTTTCCGTTCTTTCCATTATTTTGTCCGATATATATATATATATAATATATACATGCGCACACACTTATATTATATATACACACATATACATACGTATATATTGTATCAGTATTTTTCGTTCGAAAAATGTATGCTGCAGAGAAAATTACCGACGCCGTGGACAGGAATCGCACGGTTCGAGTCTCAGGTAGAATAAATATAGCGTACGAGAGACAGAGGAGGAGGAGGAGGAGAAAGAGGAAGAGGAGGAGGAGGAGATGAAAGAAAAGATGGAGGAAAAGATGGAGTTGGCGAGAGAGAAAGAGAGAGAGAGAGAGAGAGAGAGAGAAAGAAGGGGAGAAGGGAGTGAGAGGAGTGGGAGAATATTGGCGTACGATCGTAGCAAAACTCGTTTCTACACGACTCACAGAAATCATTTCAAAATGTTTCAGACCACCCTCGCCAGAGTATCTTTTCATCCAACTTTAGATACCTATCTAACTTTTCCTTCTTCGTACAATTTAACGACACGTTTACTCAATGTAGATATATATATATATATATATATATATATATATTTTTCCTTTTTTTTTTAGAATAACAAATGTTTCTTCATTTATTATGGTGATATATTGGGTGAATATATTAAAATTGTGTATTAAAATAGGTACTTTGGAGAATAATATAAGCTATTTTAGAGACTATATATTAGATATGTACGACTATAGTTACCTATATGTACAATATAAATATAAAATATATTTGTGTGTGTATATTAAATATATAAAATAATTTATATATTTAATATATGTCTACGATATTATTTCTGTTATTTTTTAATTCTCTGTATATATAAATATATTATACAAGGTGGGAAAAAGAAAATTTCCTAGATGAGTTTAAACATTAATAAAATTAACCTTTGCTTGTAGCTTTACAACTTGAAAGAAAAGAAAAAAAAAAATACGTAAAAGAAAAAAAAATAATTTTTTTTACAATTGGGGAAAAAAGAAGAAAATAAAATGGAAAAAATAAAATTGAAATACTAAACAATGTCGAAAAGTAAATACATTATTTTTAAAATTACTTAGAGAAATATTTATAGAGCTTTTGGCCGATCTTATATATATATTACTATTTCACTATTATATACTTGACGCTTTCAATCCAATGCAAAAATACGGAAAAAACTAAGAAGTATTGATCATCCCAATTTGATCGGAAATTGGCTATTTTGTTTCATACTCTTAAAATATTCGATACATGAATCGAAAAAATTTTCTTCATATCTATTTTTTGTTTTTTTTTCTAATGCTTCTAACAAACGAAATATCCAATTAGTCCTTAATTTATATAATCAATCAATCTATATATATATATACACAGATTAACTTTTTCTTTTGAATTCACTTATTTTTTTTGTTACATATTTTTTTAATCTAAAAAAATTTAATCTAAAAAAAATCTTTTCTTTATTTTTCCGAATAAATGGATTTGTTGAAAAACTGGTTGAATTTTTTCAACCTTAAACTAACATATTTAATTGGATTGTACAACCAATGTTGGTATTTGTAATATTTTATAAATATATACATACATATATATATAAAATACATTAAATTGTGTTATATATATAACATATTATTTAATATATATATATATATATATATATATGCTCTATTCGCATACCCCCAAGATATGCTTTATCGCATATTCCACGTTGAAAATCCTTACATTAAATAATAAAAAAAATAAATGACATGACATTGGAGATGTTCATAAATACAAACGTAATAAAAACCTAACCTATACTATATAGTCGAGCGTGTAGGCGTAATCGTAGAATTTACTAGTTCGCGATTTCCTTCGGTTTGTCGATAAATAAATAAGATCTGAATCTACATTGAAAAGAAAAGGAGAAAAAAATAAAGAAAAAGAAAAAGAAAGAAAGAAAGAAAGAAAAAATCCTAAAAATACAATGTTGTTTATTACAATATAAAATATTACAAATACCAACATTACTTATTGACTGTAAAATCCCCTATGCAATGTACTTAGATCAAGGTCGAACAAATTCAAAACCAACTTTTCAACAAATTCATTCGTTCGGGAAAATAAAAAAAATAAAAAAATAAAAAAATAAAAAAAAATAAAAGAAAGGGAGAAAGAAAGAAAAAAAAGATTTTTTTAAATTAAAAGATATATATATATATATATATATATATATATATATATATATAAATAAAAAAGAAAAAGTTAAATTGTCGTGTCGAAATTCTTTTCATGTCAATGGTCTGAATGAATTCGAAACGATCAACAAGAAACGATGAAAGACGACGTCACTACGACGTATCAAAGACTTTCTTAATGATACGGTGATTCATAACACGCTCTTTCAATTCCCCTTCGTACCAACACGACGCAGCAGATAGTGTTTACTTACTTT